CGATTATAACACAGGTATTGTTACCACCAACGAGTTTACGCATATCAATAAAACAATAGGTTTTTCGTTTACAAAAGTGAATACGGGAAACGATTTTACAGGTTTTCCCAATCGTTTCTATAATCTTTTAATTTTGTTCTATGTCCTACGCGAATACGATCTTTTTTTTTTCTTTTATATATTCTAAAATCGTTAGTTTTAATTACCATATAACTCTTTGCGGCATAGAATTTCAGATAATAAAATAGCCCTATGTTGCATAGAAATTTGATTACATTTTAAATTAAACAAAATTGGTATATTTTTTATTAATAAAGCTATTACATAATGTAAAAACATAAAAAAAGAGTTAATAATCAATTGTTTTGCGTAAATAAGACGAAATATAAACTTATGAGCATGTGTAGCTATTGCAATAACATTTCGAGGTGGGACTAAAAATATCCCACCGTGCATTATGGTGTATCAAAAAGGTGGGACACTTTTAATCCCACCGTGTCCCAAAGAGATAAGCGACTTGTATATATGTACGTAGAAGAAGAAGAAGGAATTCTTTTTTTTTTTATGGAGCAATCCTTAAATTCGATTTACGAAAGAAAGTTTGAGAAAATTGGCACGGTGCAGAGAATTAATGGGAAACGTTTTCTGTATGTCCCGTGTAATTTCCGTAACTCGTACTCATTTACGGAATGTCGAACAACGTTTTTCCAACGGAGTGTCCAATTGTGTCGTAACAATCCGATGAGAGCTACTTTTACAATCTGTATGTAATATTGCGGCAGAACCTTAACTATCTCAACTAATTGAAGCACGTGCGATTGGAATAATCGATTTTGTTTGATTGAACTAATAAATGTTCGTTACGGTATACATCCAATCCGACACACAATGATCACCTTCAATGATACCTTGCCTTTTATATTTTTTTACTTTTTTTTCCCACTAATGTAAATTCGAAATGGACGATTGTTTGCACTATTTTTCAATTCTTTTTTTTTTTTTTTAACCCATCTCAAAGATAATCCTTTTATCGAGCAAAAAGAAAGTCTTCATTATTTCTTCATGAAATATAAAATAAATAAATATACGTTTTTGTTTGCTGACCCCTTTTTTTGGCCTCGAGATAACGAAAGAACCAAGAGAAAGAAAGGACCAGAAAAATAAACTCAAAAAGAAGAACAAAAAATATAAATAAACTAGCGGACCCGACAGACGTTGTCCTGTACACACGTCTTTAATTCGAAAATTTCGAACTTTTTTGAATAAGCTGTAACAATCTTGATCGTTTTGATGAAAATTTTTATTAAAAAGGTCAAAGATAGGTCAAGAAGATACCAAATAAGAGAAATATATCGAATATATCGAAAAGTATCATATCAACAAAAAATATCGATTAACTTCAACCTATAAACTTGTCGTATAACAATTTATAAATAAAAAATTAATTAAATAAACAATTTAAATTGAACCGAATTGTAAATCTAAACCATTCTTGAATCCACCTGAAGACACATAAAAAATTTCATTAAAATCGGTCCAGCCGTTTAGGAGGAGTTCAGTGACATACACACGCATAGAAGAATTATACATATAAAGATGTCGTAAAGTTAAGAGAGCGTTGTCCTAAGTTTAAGGTTTCTAGTCGTTAGGGAAAAAAAGGGACGTAAGGGGAAATGTCGAAAATTGACCAGGGAAAAAAAACCAGCACCCGCAAAACCAACCACCGGACGAGTTTAAATCGGACGTGTGTAATATAGTAAGACTGAGTAGGTAAGAGATGTGGTGCCGCATTCGTAAGTTTCTCGTATCGTTGTATTTTAACCTATTTCTGTTTCTCCCACTCTCACTCTCTCTCTTTCTATCTTTCTCTCTCTCTATCTCTCTATCTCTTAGAGTGAAATAGAACGCGGGCAGTTTTGTACGGCCATGCCGCCACGTTACTGCATCAAAATCGATTTCGGCGTACACATCCGTTTCGGGCAACGCGATTTAACCTGAACCGGTGCTTTTGCCTCTTCGTCCTCCTTTCCCTCTACCCCCTACTTCCCGTTAGTTTCTTTTCACGTCTATTTAACAACGAGGACTATCTAGTTTTTCATATATTCGTTAAAGCAACTCGTAGAACGACGTATGTTCGCTTTGTTGATAATTATTTGTCGATATTTTTCAATAAAAATGATGCACTTTAAGATCTCTCTCTCGTATTTACTTATTTATTTTCATGAAATTCTACACGAACGTCGTCTACACACACATTATACGTTAATGCATTCCACGTTGATTTAATCACGCTTTATTCGCACAATTCCTGGATGCATTCCTAGCCGCATACACGCATTAACGAAATTCTAGGTTATACGTACAATTAAAAATTATCTTTGAGATGAATTTTTTTATTTTTTATTTTTTTTTCGGAAAAGTATCTGATCTAACGCGTGTTTTGGTATGGTGTATTCGATTTTAATTTGAAGAAAAAGTTGTATGTCACGTTTAGAAATTAGCTTTCCGTATATCATCCGTACGGTGAGAAATCAAGCGTTTGCTACAAGGAATCATAGTTTTCTCTCTCTCTTTTTTTTTTATTCCTTTCATAGTTGCGAAAGTATGCATGTATGGGGTGTTCAAAAAAGTTGGGATCAAAGTTGTAGCACATATATTACTTAGGTCAAACGGATGAAACAAGTTGATATTAAGTTTGATTCCGAGCTTTTTCGGGCACCTTGTATATATATTGGTCGCTTGCATGCGTTAGACACGAGCAATATTGAAATTTTGATAGTAACATTTGATATTAATAGCAACCATGTTATCGTCTATATAGGAAAATATTGGAAACGCCGATAGAGAGCAGAGAAAACACGGTGGATCGCAAGTAATGAAACGCCGTACATTCGAGCGTTATGATACGGAAATGCATGCTTTCCCGGAAATATTGCAAACTTTGAAATAAAATGAAACGTCAATGCACCTCGTTCTGCGAATCGGAAATATCAAATTTTAAGTAAAGGTTGAAATAACAACAAATAAAAAAAAAACACAATGCTATCCTTCCTTATATATCGATATTTCCATTAGATGTTTTCTTGATTTTTTTTTTGAAGTGAAAACTTCTTTAGAATGGGGGTGATTTGAAAAAAAAAGTGAACGAAAATCCATGGTAACGGAAACGAGACGATGAAACGACTACGGTACTAAAAAAAGAACAAGAGACATACGTATATACATCTATATAGGATTTATAGACTATGAGAGAATGAGATAGAAGACAGTATGCATTTGTTTTTTATTTCAATTTACGAGTTTACGAAAAATTCAGTCAATGCACGAATGTAGGAAAACAAATTTTTCATTTTATAAAAATCAATGAACTACGAAGAAATTCGTCAATGCACGAGAGTCTACGAAAAGTAGTTCAGTCAATGTTCATTGATCATTGACTAACTTCTTCGTAGGCTCATCGAACTTTTTTGAAAATCATTCACATGATATTTTTTTTTATTATAGTAAATAAACTTTACAATTATCTTACTCCTGATACTCTGCATTCGACTTATTCTCTCGAAGCGAAGGTTTTAAAAAGGTTTTACTTCTAACACGTGTGATCTGCACACATGATTTTTTTTTTTTGATATCTAAAGGATTAAGTTAATGCAATTAGACAATTAACAAATTAGTTGATAGAATCAATCATCAATCAATTTAAAAACTATAATAAAAAGAATCAAATGATTTAAAAAATTATTACAATTAAAGAGATGAATTTACAAAATGTAAGGTAAAATTATTTATAGATTACACTTTTTTAAATTTAGATTACATTTATTAATGTAATCCAATGGTTCCCTATTTACTTTTTGTCCTATCGCCCCCCTTTTCTGATTTTTAAACTACATAAGTATTTTCTATGATTCGCGTAAGGTTGCATTTCAAATATATTTATACAAGATTATTCCATTTAAATTCATTCGAGCGTATAAAAGAATTATAAAAGAAAAAAATTACAAAGAAAAATGTAATAGATTTTTTTTGAAAGAAACGAAATTCTCTCTTTAACTATTAAAAAAGGTACTTTATATTTATAAAATAATTACAACATTTTAATACGACGATTGACGTAGTTCGATGATGAAATTGACTAACTGCAACGTGCATTGTGATTATGTCATCGAAATAAATAACTTTCCCAGGTGAAGTGTCTATTATTTGTAATCGTCAAGATCATTATCATTATCATGGTCATCATCATGATTATTATTATCGAATTACGATAAAGGATGTAGAAAAAGAGAAAGAGAAAGAGAAAGAGAGAGAGAGAGAGAGAGAGAGAGAGAGAGAGAGAGAAGAAGAAACGTATAGCAAAAGCTTATGTTAAGCGCATTTCTCTCTCTCTTACTCTCTCTCACTCTCTCTTTTTACTTTGCCACATTCATATACTTATTCATACATTTATTCAGTCACTCTCTTTCTCTCTGTCATTCTCTATAGTCGTCTTTAGAATGTGGTTGCATCAAAGAACGAGAGACAAACCACGTTATTGATTCAGTGTTCGAGCGAGTTTAGTAGTGCGCGCGCTTAAAAGTATAAGTGTATATATGTTTTAACACACGATCATAAGAGTTACGTGTCCGAGGAGGAGGAGGATGACGAAAGAGTGGATGAGGAGGTGGGAAGGGGGTAAGGTAGACGCGACACCGTCGACAAAGGTATAGAATTAATGGCAACCAGTTGACGCGGAACACAAGTAAGACACACACACACACACACACACATATACACGGATATAGATATAGATGATATGCTTGCACGAACAATGCTGCTGCCCTTCACTCTGGATCCATTTCTCTTTCTCTCCCACGCATATCCTGCGAAGAACCACCTCTTTTGTTGAAATGAGAGAATGGCCTTCTCAGTCATCGTCGTYGTCGTAGTCGTCGCCGTCGTCGTCGTCGGCTAAAACGGAAAAGATGCTATGAAACACAAATGCCTCTTATATGTTTCAGACATTCAGACATGGCTTTCCACATCAACCGACAGCCGTTGCTTTCGACCCAGTTCAAAGGCTCCTTGCGATTGGTACTAAATCAGGATCCCTTAGGATGTATCCTTTAACGGGTATCGTTACCTCAACATCGTGTCTTACGTTTTACTTTTTTTTTATTACTTTTCTCTTATATTTTCTAGTTAATATCGACTAGGTTTTTTTTTTCTATTCTTTTTCTTTTTTTTTTCTAACATAAGTCTTCTTATGGGCTACTCGTTTTAAATTGATGATTCGTTACAAGTTTAATCCGCGACCTCTTTTTTTAAACGTCTCTTTACATTCAATCTTTTTACTTGATTATTTTTAATATACTACTTTTTTTTTTCTTTTTGGTCTTGTTTGATATCAATACTTATATTTTAATTACTTATTTATATGTAATATGTCGACGTATTATTTAAGTAGCTATAGAATAAAAGATTCGCGTCGTGTATCGGATAAAACATTTTCCGTCATTTATGTCTTCTTTTATTAGAAATGAGAAAGAGGTAAGAACGAGATGAATATATAATTTTAGTACTAAAGATAGCACGACTAATGATCATCAGCAAGCAACCAACTAACCAACCAACCCCCCTTTCCATTTTGTAGTTAAACATAAAACGCATGAACGAAGAAGATATATGTTGTTCATGCTCATGATTAAAACTGGGTCGTATTTGTGATTTATTTAAACGGGGGTATCAAACGATCGTAACTGTTACTTATTGATCGCTCCGAGAAAAAGGGGTGGAGTGCCGAATTAGAGAGAGAAAGAAAAAAATAAGGAAAAAAAAAGAAAATTTTAAACTGAGAATTTCTCCTATCTAAGCCTTTTCGTCACGTCTGATCCAAATATGAACCGAAAAAGGATGGAAGGAGCCGAATATCTCAGATAAACCGGCTTCTTCGGACTCGTTGGTACGTTAAGCCAAATCCGAGCTTTTCTCCAAGGAGAAAAGGTGACTACGAGTTCTAAATCGTGAAGCTTCGTCGTCGATGACAACGACTGATGTTCGTAGTTTGAATTTCCGACGATTTTTCAAGCAATTTATATATACATCCTTCTCAAAATATCCCTTAAAATATTCTTCGAGAAATTCGTTTTACCTTTAAGAAAACGAATTACCGGTTTTGAATTTAATGTTCTCGTTATTTCGAAAAGTTTATTTTGAAATTGAATATCTTGAAAGAGCGTAACAATTGCTTAGCCAATTATTATATAACAACTGGGAACATTACGCTAATTGCAGCATAATTATCGCGCGATATCATTGCAACGATAATGAGAGTTCCGCGTATGCGCCCGCCCATTTACAACGCTCGGAATAAATAAATCTGTCGGCCGGAAATGCATTTGTAAGGTGTGTTGTTTGTATCCGGTGATACGTTCTCTTTAAATATATATTCATATGAATATTTCGACATTACAATTTAAATATGTTTTATTAACACGTTCGTCGCCATGGCACCGTATACCGAAGACGGGCATGCTTCTCCGTACACGGTGACGTTCCTCTTGTTGAAGTTATAGTATTTTTAGTTGGAAAAACTTATCACATTTCTTATTTTGAAACAAAATTATTTTCGGTAAATAAAAAATAGTTTTATATTTTATTATTTTCGATAAATAAAAAATAGTTTTATATTTTATTATTTTCGATAAATAAAAGATAGTTTTATATTTTATTATGTTCGGTAAATAAACGATATTTTTATATTTTATTATTTTCGATAAATAAAATATAATAATATAATATAACCATAATACTCGGGTTGCATTGTTGATATTTCTACTTATCGCTTCTTTACGTTACGGCGCGCCGACAGTCGAATTTTGGGCCTGACGAGAAACTCAACCGAAACGGGCTGGGCGACTAACGTGTTAATGGTCTTTAATAACGGTTATATTTTTTACAATCGAAGATGCAAATAATAGTCAATTATAATTAGAATAATTTTTAGATAATAATAAAAAATCAATGTAAAATATTACTTAGCATGTAAATCATTTATAAAATTTCGCCAAAAGTTCATTGACATATTAGTTATATTACATATGTTATTTATCGTATAAACTTATTGTTTTGTGTATCTCGAAATTGAAACTTAGGTAGCAGATATGTCTCGGAATCTTTTATGGTATAAGGTTAATGCAGCATTCATCGAGCGTGCATTTTCTCTTGGGCGTCTTCCTTCCATGCGACTGCTTTCACTGACCTATCTCGTTGAACGTGGTCAACACACGGGTGACGATAACGATGCGGTTGTAAGCGTGGTAGCTCCCATGATATGGCAATTATCATCAACTGCTTTTCGCAAAAGGGAAGGAGTAGTGTACTTTGCGATGGTATACATGTAACATGTTTATTAGCTTCCAAGTTAATATACTTTGCTTCCCTTTGAGAGATACATACTTTGCGCTGTTTCAAATTGTATATGCATACACATATACACATACACCAACGAACGATTCTACGATCAATTCAATAAAAAATTTCTATTTTATCTCAACTGTCGACTCTTAGAAAATCTTTTTTCATGTTGATTTTATTCTTAGAATTATAAAAACGGATTATTGAATTTTTGCATAACGCCGTGTTCGGGTCATTTGAACTTCCGCATCTTACGTCCGTTAAACGTTATTTTTAAGATTGAGTGTAGCAACCTCGGTTTTTCCTTTGTACAGAGTGAGAACATCGTTTGAACGTAAGTAATGGCACATGATGCTCTCGAACACAACGTCGTTCAAACATACTACGTTTTTACCTTCGTAATAACGACACGATTTATTCCCTAAGACAATCCGGATTACGTTAGGAATAAAAAAAACGTTATCCTCTCTTTCTCTCTTATCATCTACTTTACATTCGTTATCGTTGAAAAAGTTACAAAATAAAATGGGAATTATGATAGTTTTAAACTTGCAATTTACTTAAAAAGGAATTAAATACGTGAAGAACAAACGACATAGTCGAAATGATGCAGTGATAATAATCGACGCGAAAAAAAGGTTGCATTTTATATTTTTCCCTTAAACGTTACGTTCGATAAAAAACAATTGTAATTGCTTTGACCCAACTTCGTGTCTTTTGAATTTGATGATTATGCAGAACAAAATGTTATCTTTTGCTACGTATGCCGGTATATATTTACACACACACACACACATATGTGCATAAATACGTACTTATCATCAAATGTGGTGTACATAATGGTTAGATTTTTTTTTCTTTTTAGTTTTTTATTTAGAGTAAAATATCGAGTAAGGTCAGATCCAATGAGACTAATATAGCAACTCGTACTATCCTATTTTTTGTTCTCGATCCTACTAATTCTCTACTCAGCACTGATGCTTGACGCAGACATATAGTGGACAATTGCGGCTACCGTGGCCGTCGAGCTCTATTTATCAGACACGTACATAGTATATATATAGGAGCTCTTCGAGGTTAGGCTTTCCTCCAAAGGTGCTATTATCACGACCATCGAGATTACTAGCTAACTCTAGCTAGCCTATCCTAACTCGAATTCACGCTCGATACGAAGAATACAATCTTTCTTTATACCTCCTACACCCTTTTTTTCTCTCTCTCTTTTTTTGTTCTTTCCTTTGACTTTTATCGCATGTTACTATCTGAAGAAAGAGAGCACCCTCTTCCACCCCTCTTCGTTCTCCGCCCCAGACAAAACTGTTCACGCGGACACGGATGCTTTCAGACTCGGAAATATTAAACGCTTGCTTGCTTAACTTGGAATATTTGAGAATTTTGTTCTCGTAAGTATTCATAATTACTTCGTATTTCATGTGGAATGTATTGTGTTCTTTGTAATATTCGTGGAAAAATTTCAAAGAGAAATCGAAATATGTGAGTAGGTAGTATCGAGTATTGAGGTCAAAATATGTTATCAAATATCTCGTTCGATTTAAACGAAGTCAAAGTCGGAAGGCAATTGGATATTTTCCTGAAAGATCATATCACGCAATCTCAGTCTGGGCAGACCAGGCGTGGACGCTCACGTAAAACACGAAGGGTGTACGGCGGTGATGCAGTTGAAGTTCCTGATCAACGAGGGTGCCCTTATTTCTGCTACAACCGACGACACCCTACATCTATGGAACTTTCGTCAGAAGATACCGCAGGTAGTGCAGAGTCTGAAGTTTCAACGAGATAGGTCAGTCAATTATCTTTTTTCTTATTCGTATAATATATTATTAGTTATTTATCATTGTATATATGTGTAGCGTGATAAATCAAGTCGGTCGGATGTCATCGAATGACATCGGACATTTCGTGATAATCCAATCATTCGAAAATCTGTATTTTCTGTCTCTCCAATAGGATAACCTGCATCCATCTGCCGCTTCAGAGCAAATGGCTTTACGTCGGCACCGAACGTGGCAATATTCACGTACTTCACATCGAAACGTTCGTTCTATCCGGATACGTAATTAATTGGAACAAGGCTATTGAAGTGTAAGTATGGAAAATCATTGCGATAGACAGTAATGACGCGTTTAACTGACCACAGATATATATATAATACACCGTTGCGATCGTCGCCAATTAGGCCTCCTCTTCCACACATAAATACACATAAATATAAACACATTTTCACACAGCACACAAAACACCAACCACTTTCCAACCCTTTTTCTCCTATCACACTCCGTAATATTGATAATGATGATGATGATGATGATGATGATGATGATGATGATGATGATGATGCTGATATCTCATTAGACGCGAATCTCTGTTTCGTTGTTTGCAAAGCGAGAGAAGGCAGTTTACGAAAAACCTACCAACCTAATTTTGATCATTTTCTTTCCTTGATGCGATAGGTAAGTACTAAATAAATGCATAAATTATTCGCTGGGATGCCTACCCAAGTTACTTCGGAAATGTATGATTATTTTTCTTGAATTTTTTTTTTTTGAAAACGTGACACCAATGCCAAAGGAAATCGAGTAGTACATATATATATATATATATATATATATTTTATACATCATATATGTGTACGTAAGTGAAACGATACTTACTCGAACGAAAGATGGCTTTCGACGGTG